AGAAAATAAGAACCTGTTTTAAATTTCTTAGGCTAAATAGGTTCTTGTTTATAGGGGGTATAAATGACCAATTTTAGGCTAACAGGTTCTTAATTTTTAGTTGCAGGTTTTTACTGTATCTATAGATCTAATTACCAAAAAAATAAATAGCACGTGCAGCACACTTTTTTTTATTAACAAAAAACAATTTGCACGCGCAGCACGCTTTTTGTCTTTCTTTGCCGTTGTTTTGCACAACTTCAACGCTGTTTTGTCGGACTAAATCGTCAAACTTTCTAGTTACACATTATTTTTATGGAGGAATTGTCTTATGTGCTTACCCAATATTTTGTCTCCTGCTGTGTTCATGTTAGCTTTTATTTTTCACTGCCCCTCATTTTCACCTTGCTGGCCGCTAGCATTTCTCATTGTCTCACCGCCACTTTGAATTTTCATGTTTTTCTTCCTACAAATCAATCACTCGCTCTAGCTCTTTTTCTGTTATCCACGTGAGTGCAAACATAAAAAATAACGTCAAAAAAGACACGACTTTGTTTTTGTTTTTTCTCTTTTAAAGTCCCGGCGGCCATGCGATTTCTTTCCAAATGAAACCTTGCGTTGCATTTCGGTTGCCATAGCTGTTCATTGAAATTATTTTACATTGGTATTCCTGTGGTGCAGATTGACTCTCGGGCGGTCGGTCGGTCGATGTACGGTCACGTGATTACCAAATTTTCTCAGATGGGTAGTTTACCACTTTTTCTTACCCATGGTGCTCGGCTGCGCGCGCTTCGTGCGCCAGAGCTCCGCTAAAAAAAATTCAAAAAATTGAAGTTTTCTATGAAATCGTTGACTTTTTCTTGCTTGATATCAAAAGTAGCTCAGACAGGCAAAATCGCTCGAGGCTGCTGGAACCGCAAAAAGTTGCTCCAAACGCTAAAAGTTGCTCAAAAGTTGCCGAGCACAATCGGGAAAGGCCTAGTAACCAACAACAAATCCCGTCATGCACCCCTGGCATGTTCCAAACAAAAATGGCGGACGACGAGAAGACTTTTACGTTTCAGTGCGTTCCAAACAAAACTTTTCCAGGATTTGAATCTGCCGATATAAAAGAACGTTTTATGAAATGGTAAGTTCAAAAACTGTTTTTGCGAAATGGTAGCGGAGATTGAAGGCATACGCGAAAAAGTACTTCTGCAAATACGCGCGAACTTGTCTCCGTCTTTCACTCAGATAAGCTTATTTATGATTTAATTCCTAACGATTTTCGACAGTTCAAAACAATTTTAAGAACTCCATTGTATATTATCAGCACAAAAATTGCCGTTAAAGTAGTTAGTACGTTGGTGGCTGCCACTGAATCATACATGTTACAGTTTGCAGTTTTGGATCGCGTTCTAACGATGTTCAATTTTTGTAATTTAGCTTAAGAGACAAAAAACCCAGCCAGACAAAGAGACTGGCTGTTATTAAGATTGGATGATTTGTCGTATCCAGTAACTCCCCGTTCCTCGTAGATGGTTTGTCTTGACATATAACCCAACCACTGATTTATGTGTCTCTGGAAAGTCTGTGTCTTCAATATAACAATGTTAAGGTGTGAATATAATCAACCCTCTCTAAGATGGACACCATATTAGGACCATCATTAATTTATCTTTCTCAGAGTGGTGTACCCTTAGAGGGGGTTAATTTTGGATCTATCCCTACTATCAAAATCAAAGAAAAATAATAGAGAAAACAATGGTATATATTCTAACAAATTAATAACATCAAAAAAGTACCCACAAGTCACAAATGCATGTTAAAGGAGATGTTGAAAGGTATTTTACTATTATGTACCTGCCAACTATTTTCTGGGTCAAATGCGTGAGATTTTCGCCTTGTAATGACCGCGATTTCTGAAAACGCCTCAGCAACTTCCAAAGATTTCTGATGATTCTCTGAAGACTTCTGAATGTTGCCAAAAGTTTCTAAAGAGGTTTCATTGTCCTTTGAGCACTTCCAAAGCTATTTAAAAGACAACAATGTCAGTGTTTTTTTATTTGATTAGGACACGACTTCATCATTCTGGGCCTGTTTGGAATATTTTAGTGGAAAATGAATTGAATTTTTGTCATAAATCATGTGTTAAAGAACAATATTCATCTGGATTTGTGAGTCAGGTGTGAGAAATGGTCCTTGATGTATGAGATCGACGTCTTAAGGCCAAAGAAGTGAGACTCACGCATAATGCGTGACTGTTGGCAGGTGTATTATTACTGTTTCCAAAAACTATTTTTCCAAATGTTCAGTTTTACACAGAGAAGCTTGAGGAAACTGTCAAAAGAGATTTCTCGGTCGCAGGGATGTAGAAAATAGCCTGGAGCCAGGGAAAATACCCGGCTCTCAACGCATTTTTTTCTGGTTGATAAAAATTGCAGTCTTTAAAAAGGCAACTGTTTTCTTCTCATATTACCTGCCCATCAAATGCCATTTCCTGTCTGTTATGAATTTAAGCTACACCCCTGTGTCGGGTAGGTAACTGGAAAGAGAGTGCATCTCTTTAAAAAAGAATAATATATCACTGTTTGCAGGGGAATGATAAGAAGAAGTAAATCTCAAATGTTCTCGTATGACCAGTTGTTTCAGGCATATCAAAAAGACAAGTTTGTTTTGGTAAGTCATACTTCTTTAAAGGCACCTTATTACCAAACGTTAGCTGGCTTCAATACTAAATTGTCTTATCAATGTACTACTGATGAGCCGTATTGTGTACGTACAATTGTACTATATTCTTACAGGGTTGCCTAGAGAGCTAATAGCAAACCATTATTATTATACCTGAAGTAATTAATCAACCATTTTTTTCAACTCCCTCCCCCCCTTAATTTTCCTCAATATATCCAAGCAGAAGGGAAAATATATGTATACTGGAAACCAATTGTTTTAGTTAATAGATAACAAATAACCAATTTTAAAAAAATCACTGTACAGTGAATATCCCAAAAAACTGGCTCTGACTCTGATCCTACAGTATAAAGCGATGACAAATTATTACCTAACTACTTTGGCTTCTCTTTTTTTAAAGGACTTTTTTCAAGATCCTGCTGTTGTTTCCAGTCTTCAGGTTGGTGTTCTGTACGATTAGTAAGAAATAGTTTAGCTTGTTCTGAGGGTAAAGGGGGTACTTTATACCATCTTTAATGGCATGACATACAGGAAGGCTCTGCCTACAAGGGGAACCATTTTTTGCTTCAGGTATATTAAAGGGTAAGGATTTCATGCATCAAAATATATTGTAAGGGTAGGGATATATCTTGTTTTAGGTTTTTAAAAGAGCCTTTAAGTATTTAAAACTATTATGAACAGAGATATCTTATAGGTAGCCTGCGTAGCTGGCGGTATTGTGTGGGTGCGAGATTAAAGTTTTGGCGGCGGAGCCGTGTTCCAAAAAAGGGAGTAGGGACGAGGCGGTTGAAATACTACCTGCCAGAAAACCCCGGTATTTTGAATAGTCCGCACACCAGTGTGCAGGGAAATGGATCGGTCGAGGGCCATACATATGTCAATCATGTTAGATGATCTTTCGCATATATTTCCCAATTTAGGGAGCAGATGGCAAACTGAAAAAGACGTACATGTAAAGTGATTGTGATTTCCGCTTTAAAAAGAGCATAATTGATGACCAAATTGCTGAAATGGCGTCTTTAAACTTCACAGCGCTGGAATTGTCTTCATTTAGCCGTAAGAAACAAAAGTCAAAGAAAATTAAAACACTATACAACTGCATCTGAGATCAAATCCTATCAGGAACACCTACAGAAGAATAAACCACCAGAAATGGTTACTCAGTATGCATGTAACAAACCAGCTTCATGACCTGGTGTTGCAAAAAAAGATTTACTCAGTCAAAGTTTAGAATGATACATGCACTGTGTAGTGCTAGTAACCTTCGCGCGAGAGCCGAGAAAATAAAAAAACCCTCTGTTCAAGCAAACTCACAAGGTCACGTTTCACATTATCATGAGCTTAGGAGTCGTGTTTAGCCTGTCAACGCTTATTTCTAAACTGTCTCGCGTGAAAATAATCGGAAGTTTCAAATTGCAGGTTTCTCTTTGACTGGCTGATTTAATTGCGATCAGCTAAGGTGACAAAAGTGAGTGGCATTCGAAAAATCATGGTTCTCTGGCAGGCGGTATTTCTCGCGGCTTCGCCGCTCGTGACGGCTCTGCCGTCAAATCTCACTCGACTATATTACAACGGCTCTGCCGCCAAATCTCACTCGACTACTACACAATACCGCCAGCTACTTAGGCTATCTTATGGGTGTATTCAGTTTGATTTGCTAAATGCTAAAATATGCATGAAAGTGAGAAGAGGCAGTCCTGAGAATATGTAACATATTTCAATGGAAGATAACCTAAAAAGGTATCTTTTCTCTCAAAAATGGTATATAATAAGACAAAGCTTCTTAACATAAAACTTGGGTGAGTACTTTCTGGTGCTGGTTCCATTCAGTAAAATACTTTAATTCTGAAGATTTTATGCCTTTCTTGTTTCAGGTTGTGTCCTCTAATGATAATTGGGGTCCTTTAAGTAAGTAATGAAACCCAGAAAATAAAAGTTAAGATCATGTATAATTGTTTGCTGTCTCTGCTTGAGTTATTTTTAATGAATTAAAACCAGTTTTCAGTCCACAGCATTAGTCAACCGCCAAGCCTTTTTCCTCGTGGATGAAATTACCCTAGCAATTTTTTTTTGAATCCTAGAATTTTCGAGGAAATTTGTGAGGTCGGTCCTTCTGTATTACTTAGTCTTATAACTTAAAAATGAGGTCACACTTTATTGGAAATGAAAAAGCAAGTGGATCAAAATGCATTGCACAAGTAAATTAAATATTTCTTGACTTTAAACAAAATAAATTAATGCTTGGCTCATAATTTAACTGGAAGGTCTCTTCCTAATGGATACTTGCCACATGTTCTTAAAAATATAAGAGTCCTTGGAAACATGACCTGGAGTCTTTGCAAAAAAACCTTTACTAAGAATGATTTACCAGTGTGGCTATTATTTCAGGTAAAACAATAGATTCACTAATATGTAGCCTGCATAGCTGGCGGTATTGTGCAGCAGTCGAGTGAGATTTGGCGGTGGAGCCGTTGTAATATATTCGAGTAAGATTTGACGGTGGAGCTGTCACGAGCGGCGAAGCCGCGAGAAATACCGCCTACCAGAGAACCATGATTTTTTGAATGCCGCCCACTTTTGTCACCTTAGCTGATCCCAATTAAATCAGCAATTTGAAACTTCCTATTATTTTCACGCGAGACAGTTTAGAAATAAGTGTTGACAGGCTAAACATGACTCCTAAGCTCGTGATAATGTGAAACGTGACCTTGCGAGTTTGGTTGAACCGAGGTTTTTTTATTTTTTCTCAGCTCTCGCGCAAAGGTTACTAGGGTCATGAAGCTGGTTTGTTTCATGCATACTGAGTAACCATTTCCTGTGGTTTATTCTTCTGTAGGTGTTCCTGATAGGATTTGATCTCAGATGCAGTTGTAAAGTGTTCTAATTTTCTTTGACCTCTGTTTCTTATGGCTAAATAAAGACAATTCCAGCGCTGTGAAGTTTAAAGATGCCATTTCGGCTATTTGGTCATCAATTACGCTGTTTTAATGGGGAAACCACAATCACTTATGTTTTCCAGTTTGCCATCTGCTCCCTTATTTGGGAAATATATGCGAAGGATCATCTAACATGATTGACATATGTATGGCCCTCGACCAATCCGTTTCCCCGCACACTGGTGTGCGGACTATTCAAAATACCGGGGTTTTCTGGCAGGCGGTATTTCAACCGCCTTGTCCCTACTCCCTTTTTTTGCAATACGGCTCCGCCGCCAAAACTTTAATCTCGCACCCACACAATACAACCAGCTACGCAGGCTAGCTAGTATGTAACACTTGGAAAGTTCTGTTTTCCCCGAACTGGAAAAGTGTCAGACCGTTCTGATGAAAACAAATTGCAGATGAATTAACTTTAACATCAAAATCAGTGTGTGGTTTGTTGGTGTGTGTGAGGGAATGGGATGGGGAATGGACTACGTACAGCGTACACTGAAAAAGTAATTGGTACCACCGAAGGATCATATATGACATTCATTTATGTTGTTTAATTGTGGGCTTGTTAACATATGAACATAAATAATTATTATTAAGAATGGAAATTACTTTCTAGTTTAAACAATTTTAGACCCCCTCCCCCTGCCCTGGTCAAAGATACCTGCTTCTGCCCATGAACATGATCATTTTTTATTCCCTAGACGTTAAACCCTCTTCTGTGATGGCTGAGCTTGTTTCCTGTTCTGTTACGTCAATGGAATTCTTTGACAGACTTCAAGATCAAGGTTTGAATGTGTAATTTCTCAGTAACCTCCAATTTCCTTTATTTCAAGAATGATACATTTATTATGGTACATGTGTACTAGTAAAAAATGAAAATTTTGCAGCAAAATCGAGAAAATCTTTTTGTTTATTATACTTTGTATTTAAAAGTTAGCCAGGTTTTGTAAGATTTTCAGATTAAGCATCATGAATTCCTTTTGTATTTACTTTGAGTTCAGGAATAATTATTTTTTCTAATTTCTTTCCAAAATAAAATCTTGAAAGGAATTGTAAGAGAATCAGGAAGCATTAGAAAGTGTTTTGATGAATATTTTGAAGACTTTGTCATTTCTGATGAACTTAGAAAGGTAAGTTGTAACAATAATCAGTAGGTTTGTTAAACCTGCTACCTCGCTAGTGCTTTCAGGGATCTTACACCAGTGACCATGTGTAAAGATTGTTTGTAGATCTCGTAATCAATTTATTTTAGTCCTTTGCTTAGCCTTTTGACCTTTTGTATTTATTTACTATTTCTCATGTTGTAAGAGAAGCATATCATGTAGTTTTTGAAGTGTTTTTAGAAATCTTTGTAAACTTAACAATAAATTTGTTGAAGTCTTTTGTGAACTTTTGACTTCATTTTTATTTTTACTTTACCCCAGTGAGTGATAATTTTATCTGTTAAAACAATAGTTTGTATGTTTATCTTTCCAAGATGAAGCCTGCTAGATGTAGCAGACTTTCTCTAGAAACAAATCCGTCTATTCGTTTCCTTCATTGTTTGTATTCGTGGGAAACTTTTTCTTTTGGAATCTGAAATCCTGGGCTTTGGAATCCGGAATATAGCTCAAGGAATTTGGAATCCAACAATCGATTGGAATCTGGAATCCAAGTTCGATTGAAAAAAGATTCAGAATCCAGTATCTGGAATCCAGAATCCACAACGAGGAATCCAGAATTTGAGGCTGTCTTGGGTTCCCTTACTTACATGGCCGGGTGATTGAATGCTTCTGTATACAAGTTAAAATTGACAGCATTAGTAAAAATAAGGTTCAAAGGTTCGTTTTTGTCCATTTGTAGGTTTTACTTCTTGAAGAGGCAGAAACATATCCAGTTTTCAGTGATGCTGATAGAAATGAGTTTATTTTCTTGATATTTAAGCATCTCTGCCTGGGAGGCCAAGTCTGCCAAGTAAGTCCAAATTTCCACTTAGAAACATTTTAAGGCGTTTAAGTAGAAACAATCCACGGCATTTAACGTAATACGGGAAGTCGCTTCGCATCTTTGCCGAGAAAGTACCGCAAAACTATTAGACCAATCACAAAGGTCCACTTTGATTAAACGTCTGACGATTTTGATGTAAATGGGTAAGGATTTGTTAATGATCGTATAAACTATCTTTTAATTTTTCTCAAAATAATGTGCTTCGTTTGGTTGTAAACGATTCCCACCCGAGTAACAACATTGTTGGAAAATTGCGCGGAAAATAATAACAGAAGAACTGTGTTAAAAATTTTTTTCAAAACGATCTGTAAATTTCAGAGCATATTGGCAATTTGTTGAATTTTAAACATTATTAGTAAGAGGTAAGCAGCCCAAAACGAAAGTCTTTCACTACGTTTGACTGAATATAAATCACTGTATATGTTTTGTTAAGGACAAAAGTGCGAGATCTATGCTAGACTTGCCACAAGTTGATCTCGCGAGCTTCTAAGCGAGCGGAGCGAGCTTTTTAGGCTGAATGTCTATCTCTATCCATGCTCTTTATACTATATTTGACTCTAGTCCTAATGACACTAACCGGACAAGAATAAAAACCGTGTAGGAAAAGCAGACTTGTGATTTTTCGAGTAAACAAACGACTTTTTGACACGGTCTCTTTGTTTTGATACTTCCTAACTACTTTAGCCTGTGAACAGGCTCTCTCTCGTGAGGAGAGAGAAGGGAAAGGTCACCCTTTTCCTTCCCTCTCCTCGCGATTTTTTCACCCATACCAAAACAGAGAGACTGTTCACAGGCTAGCGACTACCCATAATGCAAAGCTGAGTGGTCGCCTACGGGAGGTGATAGCTTAAAAGAATCGAACCACAGGGGGCCTCTTCGGAAAGAGGTCCAGGCGCATCTACTTTATGGAAGATAATTTGTTGCATGCAATGTCTAAGTTACGACATGTATAGTTCCATGTTGTCACTAAAGTTCTTCGCGTATATTCTAAGTAGCATAGTGCACACAGCGAGCTTGTAGTTATCAGAGAATGCGTGTGGTGGTCGCTTACAAGAGGTAAAAACAATGAAAAATCATAAACCGTCAGGCCCAAAAAGTGGTCGCGGTCGCTTACAGGAGGTGGTTGTTTACTAGAGGTTCCAACTGTGAGGCTTTGACTGGGAAAATTTTGGTGTTTTGGATTGGTGGTCGCTTACGAGAGGTGGTCGCACATGGAGGTTCGACTGTAGTTACTTGTTGCTCTCGCAACATGCCCGCTTGCCTTCGCTCGCATGAAAATACGAAGAAAAAAATGCCTGTTTTCCAGGCTAGTGCTAAGAAAACCAGCCTACATCAGCCACTCATAGGATCTTTTTTTTCATTTTACCGACAACTTGAGCTACTAGAGTATTACCCTGGTCCCAAAGGCTTTTTTTAAAAAATTTTCTTCGCGAAAGAGAGAGCGAACCGCGAAGAAAATTTGTAAGAAAAAAAATCTGGGCCTTACCAGGGTACTAAATTCAGTGCTGTAGATGGGGAGAGGCCGGGGGGCCTGCCCCCCCCCCCCCCCCCAAAATTTTGACGGGACGGTTTACATTGTTAACGGCCCACCCCT